ATAATGATGGAGCAATGCGAAGCAATTAAGGAGCAATTGTTTTATATTATATTATGCAATTGCATCTAGTGTGAAATAACAACCAGCTCACGAATTGATCGCCTCTGGCATATATTTTTTAACCAAAGCGAACATGCAAAACGCATTTGGTGTCAAATATTCTTAAAACAACCAAGAATAAAGAGATACCAGTAATAGATAAAGTATAGACATATAAACTTGGCCTGCGCATATTGCACATATTGTATATTCGCTTGAAAGTAGTACGTGGCATATATTTTTTAACCAAAGCGAACATGCAAAACGCATTTGATGTCAAATATTCTTAAAACAACCAGCTCACGAACTGACCGCCTATAGCATATATTTTTTAACACACATGCAAATTGCGTCTAGTGTGAAATAACAACCAGCTCACGAATTGATCGCCTCTGGCATATATTTTTTAACCAAAGCGAACATGCAAATCGCATTTGGTGTCAAATATTTTTAAAACAACCAGCTCACGAACTGACCGCCTATAGCATATATTTTTTAACACACATGCAAATTGCGTCTAGTGTGAAATAACAACCAGCTCACGAATTGATCGCCTCTGGCATATATTTTTTAACACACATGCAAATTGCATCTAGTGTGAAATAACAACCAGCTCACGAATTGATCGCTTCTGGCTTATATTTTTTAACCAAAGCGAACGTGCAAAACGCATTTGGTCTAAAATATTCTTAAAACAACCAGCTCACGAACTGACCGCCTCTGGCTAACTAACTACTGTAGCACTAACTACTATTATAAAATACAAATATAATAAATTTTCACAAATACAATAAAATATCAAAATAAGCAAAAGACTGCGTTCTTATTTTTCAGAGATTTATGTTATATATTTGGCATTACTTGTATATATATACACTGTGTGTACACACACGCGCGCGCGCACACTACCGGGCGCACGTCGGTGAACCGCGCTGTAGCTGTAACAGCTGAGCCCTCACGCACACTACCAGGCGCGCGGCTCACCGACTTTCGCCCGGCTAAAGATCGGCGATGATTGACTTGTGTATATACAGGGTGTCCGGTAAAGATTGTGCCAACGCTCGTGAGCGGGTAGAGCACAGTAATCTGAACGCCTAGTAGTGTGCGGCGGCGCACACTTCGCAGCGCGGGGCTCACTGACGTGCGCCCGGCTAAAAGTCGGCGCTGATTAATCAGACTTTACTCAATAATAACTCCTTTATGAAGCGTTATAGAAAAAAATGTTACAGGACTTTTCTGTTTTTAGGACTTTTCAGCTTTATTCTTCTAGCATATTCGCTTACGCGTTTACTCGCGCTTCTCTCTCTCTCTCTCTCTCTCTCTCTCTTGGGCGAGCTTGCTTCGTTGCTGCACGTATGTATTTTTGACAGTATCAAAGAATTCGGTAGCGTACTCACTCTCAGTGTATTTGTCTTTGTAGCAGGCGCGAATGAGTTCGTGCTGCGTCTCGAACTTTGCCCACAGCTGGTCCAGGATCTTCATCCGGGTCTCGACTGTGCAGAGTGTAATGCCGCTTGAGCCCAGTTTCCTCAAATTGTCCACCGACCGGGACATGCGTCCGTGGATGTCGCGCTGGCCGCTCATCAGGATGTTTATGTCCACACTCATTGTTAACGGAGTTCTCTTTTACAGATGTACACGGTTGAATTCGCTGAAGACGACATTCACGATGTTGCGGTTGCCGGCGAAAATCCGGCTCGAAGGACCAGAAATTCACACGGAATGAATCTCTTCAATTACCTCGCGATTGAACTTTTCGATCCGCGGACTCGTCTCGAATGGGAATCTTTTACGTCGAGCTCCGCTGAACCCCCGAATCACGATGCCTTGCTCGATTTCATCGGCAAACGCATCCTCACATTGAACGCTGCAAGACCAAAGGGTGCCGTCAAGGTCGCTGTGGACTCAGCACGCCCAGCGAGGACACATCTCATCAAGCGCGGATACGGCAATGCTCAGTGCGCACTCTGCAAGGAAGGGCACTCTATTATGCAGTGTCGCGAGTTCAAAGCGAAGCCCGCGAGCGAGCGAAAAACTATTGTCGAAACCAGCCGGCTATGCTTCAATTGCCTGGGAAATCACACAGTGGCGAGGTGCCAATCCGCCAAGGGTTGCTTTACTTGCAAGGCTCTACATCACACCTTGCTTCATGACGCGTACGCCAACCCAAAATCCGAGGAAGTTAGCACTCTCTCCGCCGTGCGACTGCGGGAAGATGGCAGGGCAATCCTTCTTGCAACAGCAAGAATAATTGTCTCAGATCGATACGGCAATCCGCATACGACGCGAGCTCTGATAGATCAAGGTTCGGAAGTATCCATCATCTCAGAAACTCTAGCGCAGCGCCTGCGCCTGCCGCGCACTCGCTCCGCCGTTTCCATCATTGGCATAGGAGGCGCTCCGACTGGAGCTACCCACGGAAAGGTCAAGCTGATGGTCTCCTCAAAGGCAACCGGAACAGTGCTTTCCGTCATCGCGTTTATCCTACCTCAGCTTTCTACGTATCGAAGCACGACGACCAGACGCTGCGCAACGTGGCCGCACATTCAAGGACTCACTCTCGCCGATCCACACTACCTCGACGACGCTCCAATCGAAGTCCTCCTTGGAGCTGAGGTATGCTCCCTCATCCTTGAGGAAGGTCTACGAAAGGGCGGGCCCGAGGCTCCAGTGGCGCAAAAAACCATTCTGGGATGGATCCTCTCAGGAGGCTGTGGCACAACGCCCAGCACACTTCTCAATGGCTCGCATCACTGCACCGCCGACCACGAGCTTGCAAAGATGGTACTCCGCTTCTGGGAGCAGGAACGAGAACCAGCCGCTCCAGTCGCACTCACTCCTGCGGAAGAAGAATGTGAGCTATTCTTCCAACGAACACACAACCGCAACGACGACGGACGGTACGTTGTGCGACTTCCATTTTTTGCACCGCCGACCAACCTCGCTGAGACTCGCCGCCCGGCCGAGCGATTGCTTTCCGCCATAGAAAGAAAGGGCAACCAGGAGCCCCACTTTGAACATCTCTACCGGGCATTCATGACCGAGTACGAGGACCTGGAACACATGGAGCTGGTAAGAACATCATCGACTGAGGACAAAGGTCTCAAGTGTTACTTACCGCATCACGGAGTACTCCGAGACTCAAGCGCAACAACCAAGCTCCGAGTCGTTTTTAATGGTTCGCAAAAAACCAGGTCGGGCAAATCCTTAAACTCCAAGATGCACGTTGGCGCGAACCTTCTGCCTTTACTCGCGGATGTCTTGCTGCGCTGGCGGCGACACCAATACGCCTTCATCACGGACATTGAGAAGATGTACCGACAAGTGCTCGTACATCCCGCTGATCGCAATTTTCAACGCATTTTATGGCGACCCGACGTCACGAGCGCCGTGCGCGAATTCAAATTGACAACGGTCACGTACGGACTCGCGTGTGCACCGTTTTTAGCGATTCGGACGCTTCATCAACTCGCCACCAACGAACGAACAAAGTATCGCCGCGGAGCAGCGTCGCTCCAAGGAGACTGCTATGTCGACGACATTGTTACTGGAACCAGCACTCTT